TCTAAAAGAAGTTTTATAATGCCTCTCCAACTTGAATTCTATCACTGGCGTCTCCACTAGGTCATATGCAAATTCATCAGAACTCTTACCACCCTTTGCTTCTGTGTCATGCCTGTTTTCCCTATTTGATTATGAACACTTTGAAGGAAGAAACCATATCTTATCTTAATGTAATCAATTTCTAATCCTAAAGCTCCACAAATGAGAGAATCTATTCATGAAAAACACATATAATTAGAACCAGAGTTTGAGTTCAAACATAATCAATAAATCTTCTTGATTCTGAAAAGTTCCAAGTTCAGAGAACCTTATGATGACCCCTCAATATATTGCCATTCTACCTAGAAAGGGAATAATCTGAGGATTTTTACTTGCAAAGAATGTCACTTCAGGAATATTCAAGAATGTTTATTTCCAACTGTGACAGAGTAGTCTCCCTCTATGGCCCCTGGAGGGAAAACATCTTGAGCATGTCAATATCACTGGGACAAAAGCCAACAGGACAACCTGACACCTTGACTATTATTAAGCATAATATGCCTTATAAGATTATCTTGTGGAATTGGGCATAGTAAGAGACAGTGTAAATCTTTTCTGTAATTTATTAAAATATTTTATAAGAAATACATGTTAACTCAGGTTAACTAAAGCAGATGAAGTAAACAAACAATATCTTTATTTAGACAGAAGTACTTACCCTATGAGATATGACTTGAAATTGGAAATGCCTTCCATTTAAAACCTACCCATTGGAATAAGACTCTAAAATATGGAACAAGCATATGTTATTTCTAGTTTGTTATTTTGGAGGGAGGAATGGGGGATTAAACTCAGATACTACCATTGAGCTCATCCCCAGCCCTGTTTCATTTTTATTTTGAGATAGGGTCTCACTAAGTTTCTGAGGGTTTCACTAAGTTTCCCAGGCTGCCCTGGAGCTTGTCATCCTCCTGCCTTAGCCTCCCTAATTGCTGAGATTACTAGATGTGTGCCTCCACACCAACCCAAGTGTATGTTTGAAATTTTTAACATTTCTTTAGTGTGATCCCTTTGGGCATATCCTATTGGTTCCTGAAATGATTTGAAAGGTCAGGAGAGAACATGTGACATGTTAGGACCTGATGAGTCATTTCTAACTGGAGGATTTTAGCAAGTAAAGCTTTGGAACAATCAACCATAATGGAATCTGCAGAGCTATCTCTTAAGTCAGGATCAGGAAGAACATATTTCCATAAAAGTTTTTCTTTCCTTCCTTGCAACCTGCAATGTCTTGAACTGACTTTGGTCAGACAGATAAGAGTTGAATGATGTATAACCAGTGGGTTTCTGGAAGGTAACCTGGTTTCCAGAGGTTAGTCAGGAACCATGTGGCTACAAGCACATCCCCTGAACACTCTTTCCATAAGGACTCATGAAAAGGGGCTTTTGACTCTCATGGGTTTAGCAGGTCTGGGTAGTACTTAGAGTAAATAGGGTCCCACAGCAGGTCTACTGTGGCCCTGCACAGATGGATGTTATTGCTTGAGGCTTTGCTCCGGAGAACTCTTTCACTGCCCATGCTTTGGAGATTCCCTCTTGGCTAGCTAAACATTAAGGCATGGATCCTTCTGCTATTCTTCAGCAGCCAAGCCTATTTGTTTTGTGATCAATAGCACTTGTTTTCCCATAGGCCATGGAGAACTTTTTTTCCAGGTTTTGATGTTTCTTTTGCCCTCAGAAACTGATCTCCATCTCTGAGGTGGCTGTATCAGAGGCTGGACACTAATAATATATGTATACCACATCAGTGTCTCTGCTTCCTTGAGCTGGAACCACTACTAAGTTACATAGAGAGAGAGGTGGCATAATCCACTGACTATGATTTATTGTGTCTTCACTGGTTTTGAGTTTAGCCCCTGACAATAAAGTAAGGCAGATCTTGAAGCAAGATTCCTTAGAGCCAACTTTGCAAATACAGTTCCATTGTTCAATTCAACTTTATGGACAGATGAAAAATACAGCTCCATTTGTGGCCTAGTCCATGGGTATTGTGTATTATTTGTTGCAAGAGAGTTTGTTTTGCAAATGTTTCATATATATCTAGATTGTCTCATATCATTCTTTTCTATTTTTACAGAATTATCTATAGTCAGCTCTCTCTGTTGCTTCCATAGATTCAACCAACCAAGGACCATTTACTATATAGTGTGGCCCATAAAGATTGCTTCTGTTCTGAACATGTACAGATTTTTTTCTTGACATTACTCCCTCCACAAAACAGTATAATTACTGTTTATATAGCATTTACATTGTATTAGGTATTGGATGTAAGACAGAGTTAAATAAAGTGCAGAGGAAGATGTGCACGAGTTGTATGTAAATACTATGTCATTCTATGTAAGGGATTTGAGCATCTTTAGAATTTTGTATTGGAGTCAGTCAAACCAATCGTTTTCATATGCCAAGGCCTACTATGGCCCACAACAGGTGGAACTTATTGTTTAAGACTTTGGTCCAGAAAACTCTTCCCCTCCCCATGTTTTGATGAATCCCTCTGGCTTGCTAAACATTAAGCCCTGAATCCTTCCTCTACCCTTAACCAGCCAAGTCTATTTGTTTTGTGATCAACAATATTTCTTTTTCCAGAAGGAACAGAG